ATGATACAGTGTCCCAAATACTATCATTTTCTAGTGCTCGTCGAGTTCTATAATATTTAATTTAGTTAGTCGAAAAATATTGATCCTAAAAGAAACTATGACAGGGCCCGCCACGGCCCGCTTTGGGCCCGTCCGCAAAATATGATCAAAATTCTAATAATTTGAAAAGAAAAATTCAAATTTTCAGAATACCGTTCTTTATCTGTGGACTTGTCTCGTATTGTACAACTGCTTTGATTCCATTTTCTGCAAAAACGAATTATTATTTTTTGATATTGCTCAGGTTTATACAGGTGAGTGTGGAGATTAATTTCTAGAACTGTGAAATTCAATTTTCAGGGATTCGCCTATTCTGCTGATTTTGCTGCCATCGGACTAATCAACGGACGATGGGCTCCAGTATCAGAAGTCACCATTTTCATGTCCATTTTAACATGTTTCAATGGAATTGCTTCAACGATTACAAATGTTGGAACTGGTCTTCTCTGTGAAAGTTCTCTCGATTGGAAATGGTCTTACTATCTTCATTCGATTTTTGGATTTGTTCTTTTTGGATTATGGTACTTGGCATATATTGATTATCCTGAAGATATACAACGAGTTTCGGATTTGGAGTTGAAAAAAATTCAGAAGGATAAGTCGGAGGCTCATTTGAGCAAAAAGTGTGATGTCCCTTATAAAGTGGGTTTTTTTTGCAAAAATTTTAAAGCTTCTTTTTTTGAATTTCCGCCAAAGATGATTTTTTCAGATCACAATATCAAAAACATTTCCAGAAAATTTTAATTAAATTCCGGAATTCTGAAACTCTGAAATTCTGAAATGCTGAGATTTTAAGATTCTGAAATACTGAATAAAAAAAATCAAAAACTGAGGATTGAGAAATTCAAAAAAGCTAGATTTTGAGATTCTGATTTTCATCGATCCAATTCCCAATCGGCCACGCATCGATCATAAAAAAGTTTGCCAGTTTTCCCAAAACTCCAGCAAAAGTCATAAAAGTGATATACACAAACGGTGTCTTGTTTTTCGATGAAGAATAGAATCGATGCTTTATCACACTCAAAAACAGAATCACATCGTAGATACAGCATAAAACTACCAGGATGTTAAACACAATTTGGCAGATAAGTAGAAGCCAATCGTGCAAGTCCATAAAAATCGGAAGAAATGAGAGGGGAAAATGTTGGGAACGAAAAATGTCTAACTTCAAAAGCTTTATAGTTCTGTTTACTCAAAGAATTTTTCTAATTTAGAGGAAAGAAGCTAACCAAAAAAAATTTATAGCTTAGGAAGTTTCAAAATTTCGAAGATTGGTTAATAAATCATTTGAGAAAGGCTGAAAAATGTTCTGAGTATCAAAATTTTAGAATTTTTCAAAAAAAATTCTGAAGTTATGTAGCTGGGGTCATCATAGAAGCATTGACTTTCACGGTGACGGTGCCCTGAAAATTGGAAAATAATAGGGAAAAGCAAGAATGTTTAACTACCGTCTCTTTCTTGTTGGGTTTGGACGTTCCGCAACAGAGTAAAGATTTTACTGTACTACGGTATTGTGTGGATACGGTAAGACAAATTAAACAATGTGTGATAGAGTTTAGGACGGCGAAAATAAAAAAAATGAACATAAGGTCGGACATCAATTGTCTGAAAAAATTACTACCGCGGAACCTGTCAAGTTTAAGATCAATTATCTCGATTTCCGTGCAAGATATCAAAAAAGTGTCAACTGATAAAATGAGTGTGTTATTATGATAAACAATATGTCAGTTGTTAGCACTTCCATATCTTTGAAAGGAACCGAGAAAAATGGACTCAAAGTTAGAAGTACCAGTCGGTTTTTAGGAATTTCGAAATCTTGAATCAGGTTATACTCATTTTTCTCATATTCTTATGACTCTGATAAAACTTACGAGAAACCAACAGAGTTTTTTACAAATCCTTGTAGAACAAGCAATATTCCCGGCGGTCCTTCAGCTGCCATGAACATCGCGGTCATGCAAACTATCAATTTAGTTGTATGGTCCGCACGTGTACTGAAATCAGTTAGATGCTCCAAGACCAATTACTTTTTACCACCTCTTACTCTGAGTAGCCGTCAATTTTTTTCGTCTTGTATTTGCGGCACTGAGTTCTCTGATTAGTAGCCCTGTCAAAATTGGAAACACTATTGTGGGGATGATCTGAATTTCAATATTATTGATTTTTATAAGTTATTTTTTACTTTTAAAAGTCCATCGGTGAATAGGTAAACTTCGATCATACAATCAGACTCGACATTCACATCTCGTTCATACTGAATATAAAACTGATGTTCTGTATAATTTACAGGGAATCCGGTACAGCTTGGTGCCGGTTGCCATAGGTCGTTGCCATCTGCCAATGAATACCCCCTATAGAGGAACAGTGACCAGAATGTGCTGAGGATATATGTTACAAGGGTCAATACAACGCTGAACTTGGGATTAGATAAATTTTCGAATTTCGGGTTCAGTAAGTTCTTCACAATCAAAAGTCTTAAAACAGCCATTGAGATGCCGAGCCATGGGATCGATTTTTGAAGGCCATCTCTTAATGGATTTCCCCAATATACCACCAATTGAGCTGGATAATTGAAACGGTTCCAACTGAAAGAAAAAGTTCAGTTGCACTTGTTAACAAGCCGGAAACGGATCTTCGGCGGACCGGCGGTGAACCGACGGTGGATCGACCCGTTTTCGGCTTGTTTGCAATGTAAATATCAAAAAACCTGTATTAGAAAATTCTTCCGGGGGTGCCTTGGAACAACAGAAGGGCCGGCTCTTCTAACTTCGGCCCTACATGTTTTACGTTATTTATGAACGTTACCATTCATTGTTCGATTCTAATAATTCCAATGTGTGTAAATATACTAAATATCCCAAAATGAACAAATCAGAAGCAGCGATTCCAATCATTAGCACATTCACACTATTTGATCTCATTGATTTTTGAAGGAGAATAAAAATGTGGAATATATTTGTGAGGAGTCCGACAACTATCAACACAAATTGATATTCTATGAGAGTATAACAAATTGAGTCAAAAAAACTGACAATGCGTATCCATGTTTTTATAGTGGAATTGCTCAAACCAAATCCTTCGAAATCCCAGTGATTATAACGTGAGAGCATTATTCAGGAACGAATAGAAAGGAGTAGGAATAGATGAAAACCGATTTTTGGGGTGGTAGACTGGGAAGAAAACAAGGAGGGACCTGTTAATTGTGTGATCATATTCTGGTAAACTGATTTTCTCAGAAGTGATTTCTGTTCCGCTGAAAATGAAATTAGACAGGAGGACGTGGAAAGGAACAGTAATTCAATTATGGAGTCAGCAAATGCAAATTCAATCAACTAGATGAAAGGCGCATTTTTGAGTAAAAATTTCTGGAATACAAGTTTTTGTTTTCTCTGATTTTTCATTTTTCAAACATTTTCTGAATTAATTATGGATAGAATCAAAGTTTTTATATACATTTTTCGCGTATCGGGGACCTAAACGGAAACACTATATTAATGAAATTGAATGATTAAATAATAAATTTTAGAAGAAAATTATTGATTGATGTTCCAAAAGTTAATTATCATGGTGTTTTTTGCCTCCATAAGAGCTTTCAACTTGTGAGCAGCAAGTTAGGCAACGATGGAAGCGGCTGCTCGAAGGTTTTCATTAGCATTTGCTTGAGCTTCCGCAGAAAGTTGAGCAGCCAAAATTGCAACAACAGAAGCTGTGACATACAAACTTTTCAACTACCGTCTCTTTTTCTTGGTTTGGACGCTCCAGGAACCCAGATGAGGTACAGATTTTGGAATCTTGTGATCTGAAAACATAACTTTCTTTGATTTTGACACTCAAACTCACCGGATGCTTGTTTGGAGCACATGCAGTTTCATGTAGACTTGTCAATGCGTTGAAATTGACGTAGCATGTAGAGTAGTACGGTATCAGCAAACTGATAAGAAGCCCGGTTACTAAAGCTGAGCAATACACAAAAAGTTTGGTGTCGCTGAACCAGGCGGGTGCTTTTCCAGGACTGAGGAGCACCGAAACTCGATGGATCGTCATTAGGAGGTTGAGGAAAATTTCGGTTAGATAGCATAATGTTGCGGATAGGGTGACGAGTTTTCCGATGGAATTTCGATAGGCTGAAATATAGTTTGATGTCCGGAAATGTCCAGAACCGTGTGAGATTTTTTATAGAATAACTTTCATCGATCATTTCGTAACTGTTCTAAAACATCCTGTTGCTAAATGGATGGTTGCGAAATTGTCAGTTGTAAAGCGTTTCGTTGAGATACATATTTAGTTGCAAAAGGGTCAGTTGCGAAATGGTCGGTCCTCAGACGTCTGGTAACGAACTGGTCAAATACGAGCAGTAGCTAAGCGTTGCTCAGCGTTGCTCAGCGTAGCTCAACTGTTAAAAACGCGGCTCCCCAAATCTTTAAAGGTCATCTCTAACCAACCTTCATATTTCGAGAAAAAATTTTCCGAATATTTTTCGGAAAATTTTCCGACGGAAAAAAATTTCCGAAAAAAAATTCGGAAAATTTTCCGAAAAAAAATTCGGAAAATTTTCCAAGGGAAAAATTTTCCGAAAAAAATCGGAAAAATCGAGAACTCGATTTTCCGATTCCGACCAAGCCTGGTCTTCACCCTTATGTTTACAGCCGGGCGCCTGCTTCAGTTTCGCCCGGGTGGCTCAGTCGGTAACGGCGCCGCACCATCCTTGCCTCGACGAGTTCAACTCCTCGAGGGGCATATCTGAACGGAATTTTGAGAAAATTATTTCTTTCATGTCCTTCCACCTTTAACATTTAACTTATGCACGTAAAAATGTTCCAAGTTTTGCCTACAAAATTCAAAAACTTTATAAAAAAAAATTATGCAAAATTATTATATAAAATGACAGATTACAAAAGATTATGTAAACATTTTTTTCGGTACAAAATTGATATTTTTGTTTTTTTCAAAAATGTTTTCCCTGTTTGAAAAAAAAAATTTCTTTTTAAAAATATTCAAAATTTGAAATTTTTCTTTTTAAAAATATTCAAAATTTGAAATTTTTTTTTTGAAATCTTGCAATATTAATTTTAAAAAACTTAAACCCAATTTTTTTTCCCCAAATTTCAAAAATAATTTATTCCAAAAAATGGAGGGAAAGAGGAGGATCAAAATGGTCGTTTGAAACGGATTAAAATCGAATAAAAATGCCCTTTTCCGAACAGTCAACACTGTTTTTTGTTGCCGTTTTCTTTAACATCATGTACAAAAAAATTCTGTATATTTTTTGGCTGAGAATTAAGGCTGTGCAAAACGCAGCCGCGGCCGAGACCGTGGATTGGTTGCCGTGGACCAATCCGGCCGTCCTTTCGAAACTAAGCTACCCAGAAATTACTAGAGCCGCCGTGCTCTACCTATCTCAGAAGTACACTTTTCAGAATGCAGCGTCCGGTCGTGGCACAGCCTTGGTGCATCCCTGAAAGTTGAAATTTGTAAAATTCCTATTTTTTGGGTAATATTTCAATATTTGATTTTTTTCAAAGACTTTACAAAAAAGGATAACTGATTTTTGATCAAAAGGAAAATTTTTTTAACTCTCTGGTTTCTCTCAATCTCTAATTCACAAGTTTTTAATCACATGTCTGTCATGCTGGTTGAGGGGTTCAATAAGTTCAATTTTCGATTTTTTTTTTGTTTTTGAATTTTTATCATTTTTGTAGCCAATTGTCTAGACTGGGACAATCTTTGAACATATTTTGAAATTTAAAAAATGTTTTTAAAAAATTAATTTACAGATAAATTAATCCGGAGGGGCAACACATGGAAATCTAGGAATTATTGGAGGACGTTTGTTTTTGGGAACAAAAAACTGTAAAAAATTGAAGTCATGATTATGGAAAATTATTATAGGTAGTTTGGAAATGGCCGAATGTTTTTCTTTTAAAACTATGGATTTTTTCAAAAATTCCGAACTTTCGGAAGTACAGGAATTGTTGATTTTTTTTCAAAGCTTCCTAGGTCCAGGATTCTGAAAATTCCGAATTTTCAGATTTTTTTTCGAAATTCCAGAGTTTTCCAAAATTTAGGAGATCGTATTTTCTTTAAAAAATATTAAGGATTTTTCAAACTTCAGAATTACTCAAAATTCAGGATTTTCTAAAATTCTGAATTTCTACTTTCTCGTTTTTTTTAAATTTTGAATTTTCGGAATTTTGGAATTTTGGAATGTTTGAATCTCGTCCCTAAGGGCTTTCAGCGTATTTTTCGATGCGTTTTTCTCGCCGAAGGAATTTTTTTTTGAATTTTTTCTTTATTTTTATGTCAATCTACATGCATTTCTGCACATTTTGATGCAATAAAAAATTTCACCGTACACCACCTTTAATACAAAAAGTTTATCGAATTTGTGTGTTTCAGAAAAAATAATTTTTCAGAGAAAATGAAAGACAGTAGGTTTACAAGTATAGGAGAAATATAGTTCCTAGAAAATGAGATATAAATGACACAACTATTTGGGAAAAAAACTAAAACCCTCTGTCTATTCTCTCCATTGTTGTTTCCTGGAGACACAACTTTTCAAGCAGATCTCTTCTTCTTAGAAGCTTTTGATTTCTTCACCGGAGCTGGACTGAAAGTTAAAAAGCATTAATAAAATCACTCATTTTCTAATTTTACCGTTTTGGTTCAATTTCGACAACAATCTTTTCGAAGTAAAGTGGTCTCCTTGCTTGTAGCCGTAAACATTCTTTAGTGATCAGCTCGGGAGCAATGACATTCTGGAACTGAAATTTTCGAAGAACAGTATTATCTGTTTTCCATTTTTTAATATTCTACCTGATTTCTCAATTGAAAGCCAGCATCTCTATATACCAGAACGGCTCTGAGCAAAAGTTTTTTCCCCAAAAGGATCGCTGCCAAATTTGGGAGCCTATAGTTCTTCCCAAGCTCGACGCTTTCTTCCAAATTGTATTTTCGAAGAAAAGAGAGAGCCTGTAATAAAAAGTATATGTAAAAAATTAGAAAAAAAAACTGACCAGCTAGTGGCTCTCATGGGGGCAGGCTTTTTGATAAGCCTGGTATTCCTGATGTTATTGGAATAGCTTACGCCTTCCACTTTACTTAAACCCAATCACAGATAGAGCATTTTTAACAGGGGTTAGATGACCCGCTCAAAAAGCAGCTGTCAAAATTTGTATATGCACTTTTTCCTAAAATTCTGAAAATTTTTGTCTAAAAGTTTCCAATTTCTTAACCATTGTAAATCTATCTTCTCTCTGTTTTCTCGCCTCCTGGGAACACCGCTCACATGTACGCCCACGCGTTCTGTTGTTTTCAGCAGCGAGGTGGCTGAGTGGTTGTGGGTGAGAATAATTCAGCCAATATTAAAAAAATATATTCTGCAGAATCAAACCGACGTGTCGGATGGTGAGAATGAAGTGGTGGAAATGAGCGACGAGGAGCAGACATAGGGGAACCTATGTCTAAATTTTCAAGGAGCAGCAAGGTGGTTCTCATGTGACCATCTTGAAAGTTCGGAGAGATGACGGCCATGGGGATTTCAAGGACCATTTAAAAACAGTCCGTCTCATCGTCGATCTCCTTGATGGAATCGTCAACGATCCTCACGGACCAGAAAAATTTGGTGACATGGTAGTGGACCTGAAACGATTCAATCTTCAATCTCCCCAGCAATGCCAACCCGAGCTGGATTCACTTTCAACTCACCAGAATTGGATTTTGGTAAATCTGTCGGACCACAAGAATCAACGCGGAGAGTATTGTGCGATCCATGGAGCTGATGACACAGTCGAACAAATCTCCCTTGGAACTCCAGAATCCGGGGCTGGAAATTTAATTTATTTATTTCAACGAAGGGGAGAAAACCACTAACACGTGAAATGTCTATGAAACTAGGAGATATAACAGGACATTTGTAATAATTGGGAGATGAAGGAAAAACCGAGTTAGTAATTAGTTGAATTCAAGACAAGAAAATGTTTTAGATCACAGGATAATAGTCGATTTTTGAAAGCCGCTGACGAGGGCTTCACCGGAAACACTTTGGCGGGTAAAGAGTTCCAGCATCTGATTAATCTATTAGAGAGAAATTGAGAAGATATTTTTGTTGAGTTTTTGATAAGTGATTTGAGATAGTATTTGTGACGTCGCAATGATCCAGCATGATTAAATATTTCGAAAATCGTCATCAAGTATCTGATTCCCTCTACCGGAAACGGAAAAAGAAGAAGTTCGTTCAGCATCAAGGACGTGATGGAGAACAACTATTTTGGACGATGTCCTCAACTTCCTGATAGATGAGGCTGAGGAGAGCAGCGAGGATGAAGAAGATGACATGCACGATGATGTCGTCGAAACAACCAAGTAGGCCAGATCGACGATAATGAATAACGACGGTAAGTCCAACCAAAAACTGGTGGACGCCATCCTTCAATCGTGGATGTACCAAAAAAGTTATGCCCTCGAAGACCGGATGCGTGGTAACCGGCTCTACAAGCAATCGTTGAAGAAGCGATGCCATAGATGAAGAAGGTATCAGACCGAAACAGTATTCATAAATTTGATTGTTTTGCAGGCCGCCGGAGTTGCCAAGAATCAAAATTTCGACTACAGTGATATCGAGAAGTTCCAGACCACCGTCTTCGCTGCAAAACTCCAGATTATCGCTATCGTCAAGGACCAGGCTACCCCCTATTTTGCTAGCCCTTACGTAGGAAAAAAAAACGATCGCCATATTTCTAGAGCAGGTGGATGGAGTTGAACATTTCAAGCAAATTAAAAACTTCAGAAGCTTTTAAATCAAAAACTTTGAAAATCTGGAAAAATGACAGAATTCTGGGAATTCAAGTTTCTCAAACTCCAAGTATTCTGAATTTGGAAAATTGGAAAAAACTCGAAGGTTCGATAATCAATAAAGATTTTTCAGTAGCTTCTCCTCTACCAGTCATCAATGATGACAAAATTGAGGTCATATACGCTGGTTACTGTAATAAAACAATAGAATGTCATCGAAAAGACACCATGACAATGAGAATGATAAAAAAAATTCGAAATTCTGGGAGCCCGATACTCGGAAAGCCGGAAAATCTGAAAATTTCAAGAATAGCTAAACCTACAGACGGATTTTCAGCAGTTTCTGCTCCACCAGACATCAATGATGACAAAATGAAGGTTCGCTATGCTGATTACTGTCGTAAAACAATGGATCGTCATCAAAATTACACCATGACAATGAAAATGATGATAATGATAATGATATGATGACAATGAGTTGACTCCGCCCCCTAGAACTTTTGCTATAAATATCCGGCAGATCCATTAGTATTCATTCCATTCCCCATTCTCTATTTATCCAGACGATCTTCTGTATGGACGTCGGATTTATACTCCTTCTTATTTTCCTGATATTATTCTGCCTATTCTATTCAGTTCTTCTTTCTAGAACATTCTGATCTTCCAAAATTGCTTAAATATATTCCTTCTGATTAAGCTCAAAGAGGAAAGCCATCAGTCATTATCAAGCCGTCCGAACATCGCAAACCCACCTGCAGAACAATGGTTCCGTGCCAAAACAAGGTTAGTTTTTAAATTTATATCCCGATTGTCATAACTACAGTTTTTTCAGTGCTGCATCACAGAAATCAAGTTCTTGAGAAATTCGGGCCGATATCAGTTTCTACTTCACACCTTCATCCAAACCGAGAACCAATTTGATGCATTCTGGGATTGCAATATCTGTGGATCGTTTCAACGGAACCGAAACCATTATAGGGATCATCAACGAGGAATCACTCGCTTACTGTAGACGTTTCCAAAATTCAAACAACATTTCGCCGGATGCTTCATGATAATTGTCTCTATTCTCTCTCTCTCTTCTTATTATTTGTATCTAAAAATAAATTTAAACATTCAATAATGTGTTAATTTAGTTGTGCCGAAGAAGTTTTTTCATAATCCTATTCGAAATTCTAAGATTTTTCAAATTAATTCAGCGATTTTTGATCCGCACAAGCGCATTACAATTTATAACTTTTGGAAACAAAAATAAATGTTTCAAAAATGTTTCATCAAACTTCTAGTTTTCAAAAAAAAATTACTCCCTTAACGTTCGAAACTTAAGTTGCAAAAACCTACAATTTTTACAATATTTTCATTTTATGTGAACGAAAACAAAGACTACTAAAAATTGACAAAAATTACTGTTTCATAAATTTTTCGTCAAATATCCAATTTTTTTAAAAATTTGCTCATTGACAACTAAATCACATTTTGTTACCTTCAAAAAAAATTTTACAGTTTCAAAAAACAACATTTCAGATTTCAAGAAAGTTGGACTCCCGCTTCATATTCTTCCTCACTAACCCCTCGACCACGCTTTCACATTCTTTAAACACAGTAAAACTTATGTACGTGAAGAAGGAAAATGAGATTAAAAATCCACGTCATTTTCCGAAACTTTCGACTCAATTTTCTCGAAAACTACCGCGACAAAGCACTTTTTGAAAATAGATTTGGAATCAGGAAAGAGTTGGGGTCTTCCCTAGCCAGAAGGCACGCTGGTTTGCCACGAAGTCCATCCATCAAATACATTGGTTGCTAATACCCACCCGCCCATCTATGACCCGCCGAAAGAGCCTTCAAGATTCGGATATCAGAGAAATTAATTTTTGGGGGAGACGGGAATCTGGGTTGGTCTTCTTGTTGAACTTGAACCGAGCTACGCGGCGCTGGTAGAAAAACTATGTTCTCTGGACTCTGTCTTAATTTTCCATGTCTTTTGTATCTGATTGTGGGAGAAGAATGTTTCACCGTGCAAAGTAGCAAACATATCATCGGCATTTTTTTGTAAAACAACAGTTCCAAAACATTCTGAATGCATGAAATATTTATTTATATTTTAAATAAATCAGTTAAATCCCATCCCCAACAGCCACAGGCCCTCCAATCGAGCTGGACCATTGATGTTGATTCTCAAATTCGATCTCTTCTCGTCGAGCCTCAAACTTGGGTAATTAAACCTTTATTCATAAGAAACTAAAGAAAAATAAGATAAAAATGAATGATATACAATACAGCGAAAATGGTGTTTATATACATGATATTTTACGATCTCCCGTTGATCGCCCATAAAAGCCCTCGGGTTATTGCCGCCCATAAACCCTTTTGCACATCTTTCTGATCATTGATTCCTCTTCTTCTTCTTCTGCTTACTGTATCGACGATAGTTATTTCGTCGACAGATTCTCTGAAATTGAAGTATGGGCTTAATCTACTGTTGCAAAGTGCGAACTTACCAAAAAGAAAGTCGAATATCATTGACTTTAGGTGGAGAATAATGATAGCCAATAAGTTTTCCATTGAGCTCCAGAAATTTCAATTCTACATTTTTTATTAGGATCATCTGAACTGTAACAGAGCCCTTTTTGGAAATAGGATTTTTAAAAAAGTCTCACCTCAGCTTTATAAATATGAAATAATAAAAAATTTCAGAAAAATAAAAAAAAAAATAAAACTTTAAAATCCATTCTGAAGGTTTTCTAGAAGTTTAAGCTAAGAATACTAGAATATTAAAGAAAATCAATAGATTAAGACGTCCATCCTGTTAAGTCGTCTTGAGAAAAGAATGAATGGTTTTCGGAGCGAGAAGAAGGGCTTTTATCCCTATTTCTGCGTCTCTCGGGGTTTTAGTACTCTCTCAGTATTTGTTATGTGCCATAAAATATGGAAATAGGTATCTCGGACGGGCTTTTGCAGCATCTTCCTTGTACAAAAGTTTCGGACGTTTCAAAAGTTGGGGGTCTAGAAAAAAGGATGCTCTGAAAATGTTCTATTTCGAACATTGAATACCAAACTATGCGTAAACGGTGGAAACTCTGGAAAATGCTGTAAATAATTAACTATTAGTGAAATTGTTCATTTTGCTGATAAACTAGATATTTAGATTCAGCTCAGCAAGGAGATTCAAATGAGTATAAACATTAACTATTTTTGTGGTGATGCGCAGCATACGTTTGGCTAACTCAGCAAGTCCAATCTGAAAATATGCTTCTGCCAGATCTATCTGAGAGAAGAATTTTTCATCGTTCAAATTAGCAAATATATCATCGGCGTTTTTTATGTAAAACAACAGTTCCAAAACTTTCTGAATGCATGAAAAATTTATTCATATTCTAAATGAATCAGTCAAAAATAATTTCAATCTCATCCCCTCCGTTATCTCCGCCGTTTGAGCATTGATGTTGATTCTCTGAAATTGAAGTATGGGCTTAATCTACTGTTGTAAAGTGTGAACTTACCTTCTAGAAAATCAATCAGAATTGACTTGATGAGGTGTCTTGATGAGGTGTTCTTAACTTCTTAAATTCCTAAAATCAGAAATTCTAAAATTTTGACTCTCTTGAATTTTTTCTTTGAAAAAGATCTTACCTTATTTAATGAGAATAATAAAGAATTTCAGAAAAAAAAAACCAAAACTTTGAAATCCATTCTGAAGGTTTTCTAGAAGTTTAGGCTAAGAATACTAGAATATTAAAGAAAATCAATAGATTAAGACGTCCATCCTGTTAAGTCGTCTTGTGGAAAGAATGAATGGTTTTCGGAGCGAGTAGAAGGGCTTTTATACTTTTTTCTGCGTCTCTCGGGGTTTTAGTACTCTCTCAGTATTTGTTATGTGCCATAAAATATGGAAATAGGTATCTCGGACGGACTTTTGCAGCATCTTCCTTGTACAAAAGTTTCGGACGTTTCAATAGTTTCAATAAATATTTTTCAGTAAAAACGTTTCAATAAAAATTGAGGATGTTCAGAAAACGCCCTGTTCAAAAATTTCAGTATTAAAGGGGGACTCCGACCGAAAATTTTTATTGCATTAAAATGTGTTAAAAGTTATCTATTTTCCGAATATTATTGCGAAAAAATTCAAAAAAAAAATCCGAAATTCCCAAAAAACGCCGTTGAAAAGGAAGAAAATTCAAAAAAAGGTGCCGCCGGGGGACGAGGATTTTCAGTGAGAAACCTAGGCCACGGCCGCGGGCGCCTTTCCTATGTGGCAAATTTTCCGGATTTTTTTCAATTTCATGTCCGGCAGGTAAAAAACGTAAAATACCACTGTCGGCGACTTGAAAAAAAGGCTGTCAGGTGCCGTGGCCTAGGTTTCTCACTGAAAATCCTCGTCCCCCGGCGGCACCTTTTTTTTGAATTTTCTTCCTTTTCAACGCCATTTTCGGGGATTTCGGATTTTCTTTGAATTTTTTCGCAATAATATTCGAAAAATAGATAAATTTTAAGACATTTTAATGCAATAAAAATTTCTGGACGGAGTCCCCCTTTAATTTCAGTATTATACATAAAAGGTAAACAAGTCCAGAAAATTCTGAAAAAAAACTAACTATCTCTGAAATAATTCATGTTTATACTCATTCCAATCTCCTTGTTGAGCTAGATCTGAAAATCCAGTTTTCATTCGATGCAAATTATCTGAGCTACAACCCTTTGAAAGTGGCTTTCCGATCTTCTCATTATCTCTTATACTTGTTTAAAGGTGGGGGGACATGAAAAAAAATAATGTTCTCGAAATTCCGTTCAAAGATGCCCCTCGAGGAGTTGAACTTGTGGAGGCGATGATTGAGGGTGCGGCGCCGCTACCGACTGAGCCACGCGGGCAAAGAGAAAGCGCACGCCCGATTGCATACATAAAGGCGAGGACGACAGCTGTACGCAGAGTGACATTAAGCGTTGTACACCGTCACGGTAGAATGCATACTCTTGCTACAAAAAAACTACGAAAAAACTCCTGTCCCCCCACCTTTAACATATATCACTCAATGAATGCCACGCATCAAATATCGAGAGAGTATTAAAGGAGCAAGAGACGAAGAGAAAAAATGCATATAAAGCTCTTCTTCTTCTTGCTATTCGTTGTTTCTTTCCAGACGACCTAACAAAATGGGCGTCTCAAATTATTGATTTTTGTTGAAATTCTAGTATTCCTAGCCAAAACTTCAAGAAATCTTACTGAATGTTTTTCAAAGTTTTGTTTTTTTGGATTTTTCAAATAAGGTGAGATTGTGCTGAATAGGAATCTGACTTTAAGGTTCATTTTTTAGACATTTTGAAGAAGAAGGACTCGACCCAAATCGGGAACTTACCTCCACCGAAAGAGTAAAAGTGCGGAAGAGTCAGATTCAACCAATGGAAATCAAAAGCACCAGTGATAAGGGCAAACGGGATGACAAGTCATCAAATTCAGCATGCTCAAATGACAAGCAGAGAACCATTTCATATACAAATGCCAACATTCAATGGAGACATTCTAAACTATTAAGAGTTTCGTGAGACAAAGTGATTTTTATTTACTTTTTCTTTTTCACTCCAAACATTTTAATATAATAAAGTTGAACAATTTTATTCTAAAATTGTGTTGAATGATAGTTAAAATCCAGGCTGATGAGCTTTTCCAGAATTAATGAGATCATCTGCAATCAGAATTTGCGTAGACATTTTACTTTCAGCTCAAATATCTCGGCTCCTATAAGAGATATCAAAATTGTGTCAACTGATAAAATATTGGTCATAATATGACAAACGTTTTTGTAGTTTACAAACTTTTGATATCTCTTATAGGAACTGAGATAATTGGGCTTAAAGTGAAAAATCAACCTACATTTGCTAGTGTGGTTCTTGGTGGCGCCATTTTTCCATCTCTCGAGGTCCACCCCATTCACGTATACTTCTGAAAAGCCGGAAGAATTTTCTAGTAAAAAAAATTTGAGAAAGAAAACTTACCCTTCTTTGTTACCCCAGTCCGAGGTGAGTGTTGTTTCTGGGTGAGGGTATGGGCTCTGAAAAATAATAATATACCGTAAAACCTCTAATAGAACGACACCCGGATCGTCCACTTTGAGCCTATATATCTCATTTTCTGTGAAAGATATCAAAAAGTGGCTAACTAGTAAAATGTTG